CCATCGTTATCACCTCTCTCTCACACACATAAATTTTGGATTTTGTCGTTTTCAATTTAAAAGTGGGCAAGCATGGTATAGTTTTGCTGCTGTCATGTTCATCATATCAATGCAGATTCTGTGTTTTATTGTCCGTAAGATACCATTACTAACAGTTACACGCATATACATACATACATATATCTCCATCTCGGCTAAAAGTATTTGCAGAATTAACATCTACGTTAATGTTTTTACTTATGTACACCTTCACGGCCTTGAATGACAACTTATTAGGGTTTCCGTGGCCTCCCTTTATATTATTTAGCCCTTGTTTGAGTACCATTTGGGGAGAAAAATGCATTTTTGAAGAATGTATTGACAGGAAATTTATGGTTAAAAAATAAGGAAGCGTTTTGAATTTGCGTATAATACTATTTTATTGAAAAACGTGTGATCGAAATGATATCAAAACATTGTTTAAGAATGCATTTTTTCCAAAGAACGGTGCTCAAACAAGGGCTTAATATCACAAAGTGTCGTTAACACTCCTTATACTAAGTAGCTTTACTCTTGAAAAATATGATTTTTAAAATAAAGAGAACCGAGGGGCATTTAAATGTTTAAATAACGTCATTTCTAACTTAAAGACCATTTTGAAGAATTAATATTTAAAAATATAGAGTAAAGTCTTTATACAAGTCTAATTACTATCTTTATACTTAACATTTATTTTAATTTTATTCTACGAGCAATTATCAAATTAAATGTCTCTTCATTTCAAAGTAAAATCAAATCTTAAATTTCTTAATCGTTGATGAAAAAACAATATCAACCTCACATTCTAAATATTCTGCAGTTGCATAGGGTGACTAAAACATGTTTAATTCTCAAAACAATTAGGAAGATTTCGATTTTTGCATATAAATTCCACAAGTCAATCTTTGAATTTTGTGTAGACGTTGGAAAAATTTAAATAGACGGCTATTGTAAAACTGTTTGTTATGTAAAAACTAGTAAGATATCATTCATTTAAACTTGAAAAGTAATGTGGATTTTCTTAAAAAAAAATTCTAAATGTTTTACTTAATAATTTGACTATATTTATGGTTCAAACTGAAAATTCAAGACCTAAGTAGCTATTAACCATTCCACGGGCCATTGACCTACATTAGTTAAGGGTGTGTAATTATGACAAAGCTCTTGATGAAGGTTTTTCTCAAATTTTGATAAAAGTTAATGGAATGTGTTGTTTTGCAGGTATCATAAAATATATGGTTAAAATTGAAATTTGATCGATTGAAAAGTTGATACTTTTCGCAAAATATTTATCTAACAAGATGGAAAACTAAAACCTATATTTAAGCTGTCAAAGAAAGAATGGAAAATAAGGAATAACCACGAGTATGGTTATAGATGCTGCCGAAAGAGAGTTGAAGACTTTTTTTATCTAAGATATCATGAAGATCATCACCGACTTTAAGGAAGCTCCATGAATTCTCTAGAAAATTGGTGATGATTCATTGCTAGAAGAGACTAGAAGAATCTAGAATGCATCCATGCCTAGAAGATGTTTGAAGAATCCAATTACTATTACCACCATTTATGGATGTATCTAGAATTATGTTCACCACCATGCTAGAACTTTCCACAATCATCCATTAACACCGATAAATACAAGGTGATTGTGTCTGCATGAGTGATAAGAGAAAGTGTGTGAAGAGAGTGAGAGCAAATAGACAATGTGGGAAAGAGAGACATAGTGAAATAGTGAAGTGTGTTAGTGAGGAATGTCATCATATAATCAAAATGTATTCAAAAGTGTGTAAAATTTTATTTTATTAATAAAAATTATTTTCTTTTGGAATTTAAACTCTACATATCACCAGTCTCATTTGAAAGTTATTCAATATTTAACAGGCAAATAACTCACATAAATCTTCATTTCCTTTTATGAAGCCCACGGTAAGTGATCCCAGAATATAGTGTATTGATCTTTGATTCTCGTTTGGCAAAAAGAATTTATTGTATAATGACCATAAATAGAATCTTGGAAAATAAAGATATGGACAGACAAAACCAAGTAAATTTGTTGGCTGTACATTGTATGTAGTGTAGATATAATTAAAAAGAAACACATGTTAAATAGTTGTCCATTGTCTTGTTAAATTTTGTTCAAATATCTCGTTGTTGAAGCATGTAGGCTAAGCCTAATTATATTTTATTGAAGCTGAAAATAAATCATTTACTTTGGCTGTAATATAGGAGTAACTTTAATTCTCTTAACTTAAACATAGTTTGGGAAGTTTTCTGTTGCGTATTGTCATACTTGGCCAATTTACCTGGGCTTATGGCCCACTCAGGCCGAACCACATGGCACTCCAGCCGAGGTGGCATATATTGCCGAGGTGAGCTATGGCCGAAGTCCACTAGTCGAGGCACCTTTTACCGAGGCCTGTGAATGTAACTGAGGTCCACATGCTGAGGCCTATGAGCCGCATCGCCGATGTAGCGTAGGGTCAAGCCACTTTTTTTGACGAATAAAAAAAAAAACAAAGAAGAAGAAGATTTGACCCATTAATGTGACGGGGTGGACAACATAACTCTTACCGATTTTGAGCAAAAGATCAATTCAAATATCTTGGATGCCTTATTTGGAGGACTGATTTATGATGGCTGGGGATCCACACAATATTTTATTAAACAGACTAACATAAATAGTATATTTCATTGACTTTTATCAAAATTTACTAAAAATATAATTTTTATCCAAACCAAAGAGGACCTTAATTTATTATCGTATAGTATTATATACTAAACTTGCATTTACAATAAAATTTATCTTTATCCAAAAACTTAATAATCATCGCCATTAAGGCCTCTCTTGGATAACAAAATAAATTTTTGTTGTTAAAATCCAATTAATTTTAGATAAGCAAGCTTAGCTAAGCTTAAAATAAGTAACTTTATAAAAAGTCCATCAATAAAAAAAATAAAAAAAAATGAAGACATTTACTACAAATATAAAACCAACTTTACCAAGAATAATCGTCATGATAAAGTTTTCTACAGCGGTCATGAAAGATGTCGTTATGGAATAACAAAGTTATGACGCTATTTGTAATAATTTTTACATAACTAGTATAGATGAAGCTCTAGCATTGTTAATATAAAATTTCTCCTCTTAAATATACGATAATGGTTAACAACTTAGAGAGTAGGCTGTCCATTTAACAAGATTGATATTTACACCATTATGTGGTGACAGGAGTATTACCAGAAAATTGCCGAAGTATAGTTGTCTTCAGGTCTAATTTTGTATTCCTCAAGACGGGAAAAGTCCAAGTGTTTTTTTCTTTTTACATATTTAGTTGGAGGTGAGGTTTCCCTCCCAAGTATGTACTCTAATTATTTTATTTTATTTCAATAAAACATGACAAATGTGGTTTAAAAGAGAGAGGTTGATGTTTACGATGGAATTTCAAAAATAAACTCGACATTAGAGCTTAAATAGCTCAAACGAGCATGTAAATTCTAAAATTGACATGTCAAATGAGTTACCATCTTATCAGCATTTAAAGATAACATAAATTATCAATTATCTATAAAAAGAACATACATATGAAATGCAATGAACGAGTCTCCATCTCCCATAAAGAGTACTGAAATAAATATTTTTTCTGACTACCTTCTTCCTCGAAGTTTCAAAATAGTCATCTTATAATAGTCAAAATAAAATGTCAAAGTTTTATAAATTTATTATATTTAAAAATAAAATAAAAATCATTCCAATATCCTCCATTTATTCAAAAACTCATTTTTCGAAACTAATTTTCAACCGCAAATTCTACCATAAAATAATATTATACTTAGATCGAATTTTTTCTTTTTTCTTTTAGCCAAGTTTTCTTATAAAAAATCACTATTCTAAAATATATTTTCTTACAAAAAAGAGGCTTAAACAAGAGTAAAATGTCATATTCAACATTATTAAAAATTACTTTTATTTTATTCATGCCATCTTTTTCTTGACTCCTACCTTGTATTCATTTTGTCCTACCCTACTTGTCTCCTCTTTCCTCCCTTAAAGCTTATAGTCTGCTAAACTAGGAATGAGTAATGTTATTTAGCCTATAATGATAATATATATGGTGCTAATATGGTGCTAAATTACAAGTGGGTTTGTCATTTAGCCTATGACCTAACACTACATAGATTAGGGTTATAATTATAATGAGACTGAATAGCATTACTTTCTGAAATTACTCGAGAATAGTTCAAAAGCCTCTTAAACGGTTGAGTAGCAACTTAAAAGTCTCTCTGAACTATATTGAGTGTAAGAGAGGGGACATAATACATGGTGTGGAATGAGAATAGTAGTTAGAACAAGATGACATGAATAAGCAATAAATATCAATTTCGTCATTTTGACCCGCATTTTTTAAAATTCATTTTCAACCACATGAATTATAGGATCCACACTTTTATCAATTTTTCAACTACATATTTCATCAATTTTTATCAAAATCTATCGAATTTAAATTTTATCAATACGTGTTTATGAAAAAAAAAAAATCTTCATCACATAGTGCATAGACATTGTAAGAATATAATTATGTGCGATGTAAATACTTTCCATCTTTGCCGTTTAACATTTTGAATTAGAACCCTGCTTGGTGTATAGAATTTATACAGATGGTGAGGTGGCGTCATTTCATTGGTGTTTGAAAAAAAATAAAATTGACCATTTAGATGCCGCCAACGCATCATTTGGAAAAATTCTATCAAAAAATCATCTTATGATTACTCTTACGTTTTCAAAACGCGAGACAATTGATTAATGATTATTGAACACAGTCGAAGTAACAGTTCTACTCAAAGAATTTTTACCAGCTTTTTAGGTTTTATATACCAAGTACAAAAACATAAATATTCTTAAATTCGAGTATCTACTCATTGTCTCAGTCTCATTTATATATCCATTTCTCTCTTGCATAAACCTTCACTGCGTCTCTCTCTCCTCTTCTGGAAATAATCCTCCAAAGAATCCACATTCTTTCCCTTTGCCCTTTCCCTTTACTCCAATGTCACTCTCGTGATATTTCTCGTCAAATCCATGCAAACCCCATATAAAATTAGATTTTGATGTTGATAGATCGGACCCTTTCAATCAGTCCATACTATATATTTCTTGTTATAGTTCCTTCTTTTAGCGCTTCATTTTTTCTTGATCTTCCGGCGAGCAACAAACGTAGCCCCTACCCCGGAAAAACACCAAGCACGCGTTGGCGCGGAGTCAGAATGACCAACTACTCAACTAGCTAGCATGCATGTTTGGTTAAGCTTAAAAGTTACTAAACATGTTCAGTTTGAGCTTTCTTAAAGTTACACTATGTTGAAATTTTAGTTCAAAACTCACGGTTTTAAAAAATAAATCTTTACTTTCTTTCTGAAAAAGTACTCTTTATTTCTTTTTAATCAGTCGACATTTCTGTAAGGTGTTTTTAAATGGATGGTGAGAATTTATTTGACTTTTTTGAGGATTCTGAGTTTGGTACTGAATCTACCATTGGCGGGGTCGGCGTCAACCCGGCGTCACCGGACGATATTTTCAGTATTCTTGAGGCTTTAGACGGGGTTTCAGGCTTTAATCTGGAGACAGTACCAGTGAATGAAGTAGGATTATTGGTTTCTCAGAAGTCTAATGCTTCGAGTGTTGTTCAAGAATCTGAAACTGAATTTGAAGCTTCACAAAAATGCAAGAAACAGAAGGTGATTGCAACAGCTTCAACGGAAGCCGCCGTTGATGGACAACAAAGAATTTCTCATATAACAGTGGAAAGGAACAGAAGGAAGCAGATGAATGAGCATTTGATTGTCTTGCGTTCTTTGACGCCTTCCTTTTACGTTAAAAGAGTAAGTGTCCTTTTATTCTTACGTTCTTTTAGTTTTCCTTAGGACTAAACTCGATTTTTGGTACGTAAGTAACAAAGAAAAAAAGCTAAAAACTTGTTATTTATGCATTTCTATCTACGGCGTATTCAACTTACCAAAAGTGAGGTAAGATTGTGCTATAGGAGTCAACAATGTTAGATTCAGAATAAAAACTGATAGCTTGTTTGGCTTAACTTATAAGCAAATAAATGGCTTCTTCTTATTCCGGCAATCAAGAGTGGCACTCCGGAAATAAACAACCTTTTTTAAAGAAGCAAAGCCAAATATTCGATGAACTTCAAATTATTTATGTTGCAATATTTGAAGTCACTATTATCCTTCAGATGCACCTTTGCCACAATACCAAACGGAATTAGCTAGTATATACAATGTTTTAACTCCTGTTACTTTATAACATTATCTAGCACTAATGAGTTTAACTTACAAAACACGTTCTAACTGTATTTCAAACATACACGCCTCTACTTTTGAGTAGGCCGATCAAGCGTCGATAATCGGAGGAGTTGCCGATTACATCACTGAATTACAGCAAGTTTTAAAATCACTAGAGGCCAAGAAACAAAGAAAAGCTTACACAGAAGTTTTAAGTCCTCGTTTGGTTTCAAGTCCAAGACCCTCACCCCTTAGTCCAAGAAAGCCTCCATTGAGCCCCATATTAAACCTACCCTTAAGCCCAAGAACCCCACAGCCATACAGTCCCTACAAAACCTGGCTACATTCACCAACCAATTCTTCCAATTCCTCCATCAACGACAGTGTTAATGAACTTGTTGCAAATTCAAAATCTGAAATTGCTGACGTGGAAGTCAAATTTTCTTGTCCAAATGTACTGCTCAAGACTGTTTCTCCAAAAATTCAAGGCCAAACAGCGAAAATAATTTCTGCACTTGAAGAATTGTCCCTGGAAATCCTCCATGTGAATGTCAGCACAGTTGGGGACAGGATGAGAAATTCCTTCACTATTAAGGTAATTGAAAAAAAAGCAGAAACGCAACTTATTTTCATCTTGTTGTGTGATATTTAGTTCAAGAAATCAAATTTTATGACAATATTATCCAAGTAAACGAAGTAAAGAAGAAAACTTGTCCGCACTTGTTCAACTAGCTCATCTAAAGCTTAAGTTTATTCCTCACATGTACATCGTATTCATTTTTACATCAAAACTTTGGATACATTTAGAGTCCTCTTCAATACATCCCTTGCATACTGGTCAAATTCAATTTTTTTTCCTTGATGAAAGTATGATATATGCACAATTTCTATAAATGGTCAAAAATTAAGCGTTTTAATGTAAAAAGAGTTAGGGGTCCGGAAAGAAATTTTAAGAAGTGACGTATGATACTGGACCTCAATGTAACATAGTAATTACATATTTACTCTTGGAGAGAACATTTTCACAGAAAACTAGGACATGTTTTTTTTTCCCTTATTTCCATTATTATTTTCCACAATTTTTTATGTATTCTTGTTTTATATATATATATGACTGAATACAGTGTTAATTTATATAAAATTGAAGCTAATGACTGTATATGTCTCGCTTTGCAGATTGGAATTGAATGCCAACTTAGCGCAGAGGATCTCGCTCAGCAAATTCAACAAACATTCTGCTAAGTTCACCAATATTTGTTCCCAATGTGCTTTGTTTAGTATGCCGAGTTAGATAAGATAAGATAATATAATGAACAAATTTTTATTTTCTCTTGTGGTTTAACATTGTCTCGTACTGTACAATTCTCCAACATGACATGCGCGTTTACGTTGACTGGATTCCCTTTCTTTCTCTCGCTCTCATTCACACAAACATAAACGCAGACATTGACTGATCACTCACTCGGAAGAAATAAAAGCAAACGTGGGAAAGCATCAACCACCATTGCTGTTACTGATGTAGCTTTTATCAGCCATGACTAGTTTTTGAATTTTTTTAGCATAACACTATTCTACTTTGAATCTATTTCAGTTTCTTGTTGCCGACTTAGTGTTTTTACGTTGCTACGATTCTTGAAAATTTATAATGCAATACACAGAATGTTTAAAAAGTCGATCACGACATTCATCTGAAAAAGTGAAGGGTCAAATTTCCCATTTTGATTAAATACGTTAAATAAAGAAAGAAAAACAAGAATTTGACGGTCAATCGATTTGGTTCTTACAACATTGATATAAACATTTAAGCAAAATCAAATCAATCTCAAAAACAAAATTATCTAAGGTTAACGAGGGGTGTGTGCCTGGTCCTAGCTAGGTCTGTCGGGCTGCAGCTCAGCTCATTATGTTAGAATTTGAGTGTGACCCAAATTTTTTGATGAAAATATTTGAGAGTTCTAATTAAAGTGCATATTAAGAAGAATTCTAATTGGAATGCTTTTGAAATTCTATTTGAAGTCCATTGGCAAATTCTAGTTGATGCTCTATTTGGAAGTCCTACTGGGAGTTGGAATTTGCGTTGGATTTAAATAGATTAAGATAAGGAAATTTTCGAACATTTATTTTCATCTACAACTCTGCTTTTAGGGTTTAGATTGTTCCTATATATATTTGAATCTACTTCGAGTTTATGTATTGTTGATATTGTATTTTTCTCTCCAATGGTTATTAATAATAAAATTAATCGGTTCCCTTGTTAATATTTCTTCTTGTTTTTAATCTTATTCTTGTTTGTGGGATCAATACTTCTTCTTATTGTGCCATACCCATCTCCCGATTTTTACCAACAAGTGGTATTACAGCTATTGGTTGAGATTTTTCTTTGAGGTTTCTGTTATTGATGGTAGCCATGAAGTATGAAATTTCTCTGTTGGATCACAATATAAAATTTTCATTGTGGTAAGTGAAGATGTGAGCCGTTTTGGTACAGATGAATTTGGATGATGCGTTCTTAGGATGTGACAATATGCCAACAACTTGGACAACAGAGGAGAAACAACAGAAGGGTCGAAAGACATATTCGCAGATCTATCTTCATCTATCTAATAACATTCTTTAAGATATTTTGAAGGAGAAGATAGCAGTTTCATTATGGTTGAAGTTGGAGTAACTATGATTGATGAAAAGTCTGATAAACAAGTTGCATTTGAAGAAGAGGCTATATTCTCATCGCATGGCAGAAGAAAGATCTTTGGAAGGCCATTTGACCATGTTCAAAGAGATTGTCACTGATTTAATTTGGAAATGTTAGAGGTAAAATATGATGAAGGGACTTGGCCTTAGTTTTGTTGTGCTCACTGCCTACTTCATTTTCGTTGTTCAGGGACCCGATTTTATAGAGTTGTGACATACTCACCATTGAAGACATGTGTGATGTCTTGTTCTCAAAGGATAAGATGAAGCATTTGGTTGGATCCGAATACAAAGATGGAAAAGGTCTTGTGGTTCATGGTGATTGACAAAGCAGTAAGCTGAGAGTGAATTTCAGCAATCAAGCTTGTTTTTATTGCAAGAAAAAATGACACGTCAAGAGGGATTACGAAAAGTTATAGAATAATGGTAATTTGTCTGCAAGTCAGGGCGACAATCAGATATTTCGGATGAGACCAATGTAAATTATGACTATTTGGGTGGCGGAGATGTGTTGACTATTTCTAACGTGAAATCCAAGTTTGACAAGGAATGGACTTTGGATACAACTTTTGTGTTCCATATGTATCCCAATCGAAATTTGTTTGAAGCATGTGAAACTGTGACACAAGGTGTTGTTGTCATGGGAAACAACGAACTTTGTCGGGTAGCTGATATCACCAGGGTCAAATTGAAGTTGATGGATGGGACAATTAGAACACTTGACCAGGTTTGACATGTTCCAAATTTGAAGAAGAATCTCATCTCATTGAGTATCCTTAATTCGAAGGGTTATGAGTTCTCTTTGGATGAGGTCGAGTTTTGAAGGTCCAAAAAGGTGTCCGTATTGTATTAGAGGGATAGAGGAGGTCCCGATTATACATCTTGCAAGGTCGTTTAGAATCGGTGAAGAATCATCAGCACAAGTTTAGCAATATAGTGGATATACAATTTGGTACAGTACCTTTGGGAGTTGGCTCTAGATCATTATTAAAAAACACTACTTGGATGAGTTCGGAGGATATGAGCATTTTTGTTTTGCAACCATTTTTGCGACGTCATCGTGTTCAACTGCTAGGGAAGGACCCATTGAGGATGGGTATGTGGATGCTGATCTAGTTGCGTATTTTTTGTGGTTTTGAAGGTGTCGAGCTAGCAAAGGTCCTTCAGTTAAATCATTTAGAGTTGATTTTGCTACAGGGTGTTGCTTCGACCCTATTTAGTAAATTTTGAATTCCTTGCGAGAATTTTGGGAACCCAGCGTTTGGGTTTGGGTATCATTTGTGAATAATGTGGAAGAGGAAGAGTAATTTTTCACGAGATGGAGAAGTTTGATCCTGGTTGAAGAGTTCAGTTTATTTTGTTACAGTCGAACTTATTTTTCCAAGTGAAGAAATTTTAGAGTTTCGTTTGTTGTACTGATGTCAAGGTGGAGATTGTTAGAATTTTGGTATAACCCGAATTCTTTGATGAAAATAATTGAGAGTTCTAATTAAAGTGAACATTAAGAAGAATTCTAATTGAAATGCTTTTGAAATCATATTCGAAGTCTATTGGCGAATTCTAGTTGAAGTTTTATTTGAAAACCCTATTTGGAGTTGAAATTTGTATTTGACTTAAATAAATAAATATAAGGAAATTTTTGGGCATTCTATTTCATCTACAGCTATAATTCTAGGGCTTGGATTATCCCTATATATATTTGAATCTTCTTCCAGTTTATGTATTGTTGATATTGTATTTTTCTCTCCATTGGTGATAATGAAATTAATCGGTTCCTCTATCAATCTCTCTTCTTGTTTTTAATTTTGTTCTTACTTGTGCAATCAATACATTATATTGTGTCATACCTACCTCCCCATTTTTCCCAACACATTAAACAGGCTGTTTAAACCCAGACGTTAAATTTGAAAGCAGGTGCCTGGAAGTGCTAAGAATATAACTTAAGCAAATACTTGATGGTCATTATTTAGAAAAATGATGTTTAAAATAGTGATTCTTTAGAGAATGTATGGTTAAAAAGAAGAAAATTTTTATTTTTACGTACAAAATATTTTATTGTATGAATGCGTGATTTAAAATGAGTACAAAAATTAAAGAGTTTTGTTTTAAAGGGAGACAAACATGGACTTTCTTGATCTTCACAATTTACACTTTTAGCCTTCGTTTGGTAAATTTATAAATGGTTTATAAAGAGGAATAATAACAAACACCATGAAATGTGGAGATATTATAATTTAAGAGAAATAATAGTAGTGATTTACAAAATGTGGGGATAATAATTAAGCTCTTGTTGAAGTCTCATTATCAAAGTAAACTCTTTTTTTCCTCAAACTCATTTAAAATCACATTCTCTCAATAAAATAATTTTGTGCGTAAATCCCTTTTTTTAACCATCAATTCTCCATAAAATCACTATTACAAAATATATTTTTCCCCAAAATAGACTCAAACGTAGCCTAATAGTAGTTATGAACATATTATTGAAATTAAAATTTGAATTTCATTAGATTTAGAAATTTATATCCAAACCGAGGCTAACCACTGTTTTGACTTCAATTTTTTAAAACTCATTTTCAATCACATGTTTTATGGAATTTATAATTTTTTATCAAATTTTCATTCATATATTTAATCAATTTATCAATTCTATTAAAAATCTATTATTAGTTTACTCTTCAAATCACGAGATATTTGATTGCTAAATAGTATTACATAGTACACCATTAAAATCACGAGATACTTGGTTTCCGAATAGTGTTACGTAGCAATGAGATGTAATTGTGGAGCAATGGAAGTAATACACTTCTACTCAAAGAATCTAACAGCTTTTAATTTTTATGCCATAGTACAAATAACATAAATACCAGTAGCTACAATCTCATTTTATGTATTTCTGTCTGGCTCTTGCATAAACGTCACTCTCTCTTTCTCTCTCTCTCTCTCACAGTCATTTTCTAGTGATATTTTTCTCATAATCCATGCAAAAAAGAATCTGGAAATAGATCTTGATGGTGTTATAATTTTTGGTCCCTTTCAAATCATTTCAAAATATAATTCTTGTTTTGATTGTATGATATATTATTTGTTATTCCTTTAGGCTCCTCTTCATTTTTATCATTTTCCCTTGATCTACTCAACGTACTCCGGCGAGCAGCAAACTTCAAGAAGCTCCTTTAAACGCCTTAACTTCTTCGTGTCTGTTTTGAGTTTCTCTCTAAATATCTGTCGACATTTTCCTAAACTTTTTTTGGGCAACCTATTTAGTGAATTTTTCAAATGGATGGTGAGCATTTTTCCGATTTTTTCGAGGATTCCGAGGATATTTTCAGTATTCTTGAGGCTTTGGAGGGTGTATCTGGTTTAATCACAGAAGATGAGGAGGGGATTAAGGGGGGATTAATTTCTCAAAAATCTATTTATTCTTCAAGTGTTGTTCAAGAATCTGAAATTGAATTTGAAGCTTCACCAAAATGCAAGAAACAAAAGGTGGAATCCAATAATATTGATGGGCAACAAAGAATCTCTCACATAACAGTGGAAAGGAACAGAAGGAAACAAATGAATGAGCATTTGTCAGTCTTACGTTCTTTGATGCCTTCCTTTTACGTCAAAAGGGTATGTTTCTTCTTTAATTTAGATGCCTTCCTTTTACGTCAAAAGGGTATGTTTCTTCTTCTTTAAATTAAACTTAGGAGTTTAATTTCTCGGACTGAATAACACACTTGAAAGTACTTAAAGTCACTGTTGTTCTAAGGGGACGTTTGGTATTTCGATTTCAATAGTATATGGAAAGATTAAATATCGTTAAGCTGTAACTTCTAACGCATGCCTATACTCCGGAACAGGCCGATCAAGCGT